CAGTTTCTCCCAGTGATACTAACAACAATAGACTTAACTACAATAAGGCTGTACACACAGTCCACAAAGGGGTGCCCAAGAGTGTCCACCTCAGGTAACTGGGAGGCTGACCCACTGAACCATATAGGACACCTTAGCACACAAAGCCACCCTACCAACTCAGGAAGCTGTGAAAATGCCGAGACAAGGAAACAGATCACAAACAAAAGAAATGGAGGATAACAAGCGACTATTCAATAGAGTTCAAAACCGCGGTTATAAGGTTTTTCAAGAATTTACTAGAATAGGCCAATAAAATAAATGAGACCTATGAGGATATGAAAAGGGATCAACTAAAAATAAAGAATACATTATCTGAAATAAAAAGTATTATACAGAGTCCTAAAAACAGAATGGAAGATCGCAAGAATCAAGTCAAAGATTTGGAGCATAAAGAGCCAGAAGACTCCTCTGCAGAAGCAAGAAGACAAGAGAATCCAGAAAGTTTAAGATATTGTAAGAAACCTCTGGACAACTTCAAGCAAACCAACATCAGAATTATGGGGGTCCCAGAAGAAGAGAGGGAGAGCAAGATACTGAAAACATATTGGAAGAAATAGTGACAGAAAACTTCTCCCACCTGGTGAAAGAATTAGACTTACAAGTCCAGGAAGCACACAGAACCCCAAACAAAAGGAACCTAAAGCGGAACACACCAAAGCACATTATAATTAAAATTCCAAGAGCAAAAGACAAAGAGAGAATATTAAAAGCAGCAAGAGAAAAGCAAGTAGTTACCTATAAAGGAGCACCCATATGATTGTCAGCTGATTTCTCAACAGAAACCATGCAGGCCAGACGGGAATGGCAAGAAATATTCAAGGTGATGAATAGCAAAAACCTACAGCCAAAAATACTCTAACCAGCAAAGCTATCACTCAGAATTGAAGGCCAGATAAAGAGCTTCACAAATAAAAAAAAAAGCTAAAGGAGTTCATCACCGCCAAACCAGAATTATATGAATTGCTGAAGAGGGTTCTTTAGGAAGAGGAAGAAAATAAAGATAAAAATTATGAACAACAGCCGAAACCGGTTTGGCTCAGTGGTAGAGCGTCGGTCTGCGGACTGAGGGGTCCCGGGTTCGATTCCAGTCGGGGGCATGTACCTTGGTTGCGGGCACATCCCCTATGGGGGGTGTGCAAGAGGCAACTGGTCGATGTTTCTCTCTCATCGACGTTTCTAGCTCTCTATCTCTCTCCTTTCCTCTCTGTAAAAAATCAATAAAATATTTTTTTTTAAAAAAATTATGAACAACAAATATGTAACTATGAACAAGTGAATCTAAAAACCAAGGGAATTAAAAAATCTTATGAACAATATTAACTGGTAAATATAATAGAATCAGAGGTATGGAAGGGGAGTGGACTGACGATTCTCGGGGAAAAGGGGAATGGGGGGTGAGGGAAGAGACAGAACATAAACTATGCATCTATGGATGAGGACAATGTGGGGTGGGCAAAGGGCAGAGGGTGGGGTGGGAACCTGATGGAGGGGAGCAATGGAGGGGGGAAAAATGAGGAACATTTGTAATAATATGAACAATAAAGATTTATTTAAAAAACAAAACAATAATGAATTAAAAAGCAATTGTACCAAGTTTTCACAGGGCATTTCCCCTCCTTCCCCAATGGCCTGCTTCCTAGTGCTGAAGGGACAGAACCATTAGAGTTAGAGGTTAGCTGTGCTAGAGAGTACTATTGACCATTGACAACTATGTGAGCTTTCTCATTGCTTTGTTCTTTAATACCTGAAGTGCCTCCCCTTTCAATATTTTCTGTTTATGGACTCACTGATAGGACATCTAAACTGAAGAACATGGAGAGTGTAGCTCTCATTGTTTCTCAGCACGTTCCTCTATTGTCCCTCAATCTCAACAGAGAAGTACCTTGGCATACCATCATCACATCTAGAACCTTTCTGTGCCGGGCCAACTCATCCAAGGGTTTGTTAAGCTAAGAAGTGGGGTGGGGGAGGGGGGGGGGTTAAGAAAAGACAAAAGAGAATAATCTGGGGCTAGGTGGATCTCATGAGCCTGGCTGAGGCCACAGAGATCCAGACTGCAAGCTGAGCCTTTATTTTTTAGCCAGAGGTAAACAAGGTAGTGGTCACCATAGTTAAAATGTTCTTGTGAGTTTCACTTGTTTTGGCAGCACTTGCTGCACCTCTCACAGCCCATTAGCTACCCAAGAAGGATCTAGGGGGTGTCATAAGGTCAAACTTGAATATGCTAAGACAGCTGTGCCCTCTAAGCTGGGACTTGTTTTGTGGCTTTACCAACATGTCAGTCTGAGGCTTAACCCTATAGCCGCTCTCTAAACCTTTCTATGTTGGAAATAATTATTTTCTCCCCTTTCCTAAGTGTCCTTCCTCCTGTCTGAACCCAGTTCTCCATTTATCCTTTAGTTTTAGTTTCTTCTGTCTAAGACCTTGTACTTGCTGTTGCTTTCTCTTCAACACAGCTAACCTCTAAATCTTTTGGCTCTGTCCCTTTAGCATTTAAGTGTGCTCCCACTATTACCATGTTAAGAAATAATTATAATTATAACTCTTCCTCTATAACATGGTGCTTACCACTCATTGCTTACAAATCCCTATTTTTTCTTCCACCACAAAACTTCATGAATACTTATTTACACTCATCTGTTCTTTTACTGCCTAATCATGCTTTAATTTTTTCTAATCTGAATTCTGCCCCTACAGCTTTACCAAAGTTGCCTCTTCTGCATTTGCTCTTGAATGTCTCAGGCACTGGAAGATCCAAATCATAATTTATAATTTTTTCTGTCCAACTTGTTTCTCCCCTGTTATTCTCAGTGTTAGTATGTGGTTTAAGTCAGAAACCTTAGCATCATCCTTTATTTCTCTTGCTTCTGTTATGCTGCCCCACCTCACATCCATTTATTCACCAAGTCTTGTCATTTCTGGCTCCATTCCCACTGTCCCCAACCACTATCAGTCGTGGCTGAGGTTATTGCAGCACATCCTAGCTGGTCTCTCTTCTGTCTCCTCTCCATAAATCCCTTCTTCACACCACAGTGGGTGTATATTTTTAACTCAAAATTGATATGCTTACTCTCCTGCCTAAAACTATTTGGTGGTTTCTCATTATTTTGGGCATGCTGTAGAAGCCCATTAGGATATGACCTCTGACTGCCTTTCCAGCATCTCCATGGGTCACTGACCCCATCACTTGGGACTTGGTGTAGTCCTTATATGGTTATACTAGACTCTTGGTCTCCACTTCAGAGCTTGGACATATGCTGATTTCTGGAATGCAGCATCTGTCTTGCCCTCTTTGTGTCTTAGCTTAAATTTTACTATTCTTCCTGGTTTTTCCTATCCACCTTATGTCCAACTATTAAGTGGTTACTGTAATGCGTGACATTTCATTAAACTCAGAGCATTTTAACATAATCATTCAATGTCTGCCTTCCTCACTTGACCACAAGTATTAAGAGCACAACAGTCCTGCACAGGGTCTGACATACAGTGGGTCCCTAATAAATGCTTACTGAATGTGTGAGTGAGTGATGTAATAGGAGAAAAACTAAGGCACAAAGAAGTAGACACTGTCATCTGCACTCTTGACTTTACCCAGTTGTTAATCCTAGTTTGGATTAACTAAAATGTGTTCAAAGAAAACAAGCAAACTCATAGACAGAGACAACATAAAGATGGTTACCAGAGGGGGAGTCTGGTGGGAGAGAAATAAAAGGTTAAAAGGGGTCAAATATATGGTGATGGAAACACTGGACTTTGGGTGGTGAGCACACAATAGAGTATACAGATGTTGTATTACAAAGATGTACACCTAAAACTTATATAATGTTATTAACCAATGTTACCCCAATAAGCTTAATTTGAAAAGTAAGTAAAAATGTATACTAATAAATGGGTAATATGTAATTATGCCAGACATTTTCCAGACGTCCTTCCTGACAAAGGCGGGGCCGGGGAGAAGCCACCAGGAGTCCCCGGGACCTGTGGCCAGCCTAGGAGAAGTTTACTATTCTTATTTCTATTACTATCTACCCTTTAGGGATGTTTCCAGGTCTTGGTGGCGTGGCGTGGCGGCAGCAGAGGCACAGTAAGGGGCATGTTTCATTTAAGGAAATTCCTAAATTGCCCTGTATTCACTCGTGGACAAAATTTCAAAATCTAACTGACAGTAAGCTGCCAGCCCAGGGGTCCCCGGGGGCCTGTGGCTGGCCAGAGGGAGAAAATCCCAGGTCCAGAGGACCTGTAGGCAGCCAGAGGGAGGGAAGCCCGAGTCCTACGTGTGGAGGCCAAGGCAGAGGCTGTTAGGGGCGATCAGGCTGGCAGGCAGGCAGAATGATTAAGGGTGATCAGGAAGGTAGGCAGGTGAGCTGGTAGGAGCCAACGGTCCCAGATTGCAATGTCCAACTGGCAGTTTAGGATCTTGATCTGGCCTAAACTGACAGTTGGACATCCCCAACGGGGTTCCAGATTGGAGAGGGTTCAGGCTGGGCTGAGGGACTATCACCTCCCTCTTCCTGTGCACGAATTTCGTGCACTGGGCCTCTAGTATAGAATAAAGTAAAATGGTGTTTCTTCCTCCTTTATAAGCCCATAGATACTATTTTTTACTTCATTGTTATAGTTTTGGTGAATCTTGTCTTTTTCTCTGTTGACTGGAGGAACCTTCTTCTTTAGAGATTATTTGATTTTAAAATGCTGTCTAATCTCTTGATACTAAAAAAAAAAGTTACAACACAATATTCAAATATTCCTTGTACATATATCCAAATACATGTTGACAAAGAGATCTGTTTACTGTTCCCAGAAGGAAACTTCTTGCTCTGTTTTTCTTTTTGTGTGTTTTTAGTTCTGCCTTTCCTTGAAGCATCTCACAGAAGTGCCGTTTTAATCATTTAAACCCTTTGACAAATATGTTTAAAAGAGTTACTTTTAAAAAAAAGTCCTTTTAATTTTGTGCCTAGGAAACGAGCTGCTTGTAAGTCAGTGAATGGCTCCCACAAGTATAAAGGGAATGCCAAAGATGTCAAACCCCCAGACCTCTGGATTCATCATGAGCGACTGGAGCTGAAACCAATTGATAAGTCTCCAGACCCAAACCCCATCATGACTGATACTCCAATTCCTCGTAACTCTCAAGATATCACACCAGTTGACAATTCCATGGACAACAACATCCATCAAAGGCGGAATTCGTACCGAGGTGCAGGTTTTCCCCAAATGTTGAGAGGCTATTTTCATTTAAATAATTTACCATTTTATCAAGTTGCCTTAAAACTTGGTGTTTCCTATACAGGTGAGATTTTTAAAAGTATGTAATATGGATTTAGTCAACATCTGATGATGGATAGCTAGCAGTTGTGAGGGACAGGTTCTATACCAGAGGAGACACCTTCTAGATCTTTTAGGTCTCATTGGGCTTCACCAGCTTGATACTCAAGCATTTGAAACAACCTAGCCCATGTCTGTGCATTTCATTCTGTCCTTTCAGTCGGAGTCCAGCTGTCATTGTGGTATCCAGAATGCTCTTGGTCTCTGCTCTTACAGACACCACAGTGAAGCATGGTAGGCAGCATTGTGTCAACTGTATTGACTCTTAAAAGGGACGCACTAGTGATCACTTTTCTCTTTATTTCACTTCCTGCAGAAACATCTTGCCCCCATTTTCTTGTTTGTGTATTCCGTACTAGATATGTTTTACTTCCCAAAGTGGCCTAGGGCACATGCTTATAACCACCCTTCATATTTGATGTCTAGGGCATGAATCAGAGGACAGCATGTCTACACTGGCTGGAAGGCGAGGAATGAGACCCAAAATGATGATGCCCTTTGACTCTCAGCCACCCCAACGTAAGTTAAAAGTGTCTCTTTCTCTAGTACTACCTGTCTAGTCAGTCATGTTGGGGAACAATTTTGAATGATCTTTTTTACTTCACTCAATCCTGACATAAAACCGCTTTGGCAACTTGAGGGAAGAAGTATCAAAGAGTTGCCATATTTTACAATTAATATTATTGAGACTAGCTCCTTTAATTATAGGGAAAAAAACGCTAAAAAGCCAATTTCCTAGTGTCCCAGGAATAGGGAAGTAACTAATCTCCGAAAAATTGCAGAGCTTGCCTGGCTGGTGTAGTTCAGTGGTTGAGCATCGACCCATGAATCAGAAGGTCGCACTTTGATTCCTGGTCAGGACCTATCCCCTAGTTGCTGACTCAGTCTCCAGTAGGGGATGTGTAGGAGGCAGTCCATCAATGATTTTTCTCTCATCATTGATGTTTCTGTGTCTCTCTCCCTTCCTTTCTCTGAAGTCAATAGAAACATAAACTTTTTAAAAGTACAGAGCATCCCTGCAGGAGAAATGGGGAAGCATATGCACATTCATGGTAAATAGGCACCTGTGCAATTTTTTAAATTATTAGACCTCGTATTTTATAGGAAGTTTGAGGTTAACAGTATGGAGAAGTGTTTGTTTTAATTCCTCACCTAGGACATGCATAGAGAGAAAGAAACATTGATGTGACAGATAAACATTATCAGTTGCCTCCTACACGGGCCCAACTGGGGATCAAACCACAACCCAGGCTTGTACCCTGACCAGTGCACAGGACCTCACTCAATTAACTGAGTCACTCTGGCTGGACAACAGTATGGAGTTTGTAAAGCAATATTTTCAACCTTATTTGAACTATGCCTCACTTAGATAAGTTTAAAAGTTCCTCAACCTTTTATAATAATATTTGAAATTCAAAATAAGTTAAATATCATGATTAAAAGCCAAAAAACAATGGGATAAATCAATGTTTATTCAAACTAAGCCTTTCAGACTAGCTGGCACAGTGGTGCTTTCAGTGGAGCCTCCTGAAACCAACTGGAATAGGTTCAATTATTCTTTTGGAACATTTGCGTTTTTAAACCTGGGGCCTTGTTATAAAAGGGAAACCATGGTATGTCTGACTGCCAGTTTACATCCAACAGTTGGACATCCCTCGAGGGGTCCCAGATTGGAGAGTGTGCAGTCTGAGGTGTGGGCACTGCCCTCCCCTCCCCCAGCCCTGTGCACGAATTTCCTGCACCCGGCCTCTAATCCTAGAATAAAAAACTACCTGCCTATCAGGATCAGTCTTACAAACTATTTGATATATGGAAGTATTTGCTCTAACCTGGACAGTAGGCCAGTAAACATCAACACTGTCAGATACCTATATACAAATACTGAAAGCATCAAAAACTGAAAGATCACTTTTCATTTTTAACCCAAATGAGCTTTTGATTTTTAATTTATTTCTTAAAAGATGTCTCATTTTAGAAATCTCAGCCATCTCTGTCAACAGTGTCAGAGATTTAAATAATCCCAGATACCATACATGCACAGGTGCACCATGGCACCCTGTACTTGGGAACTGGCAGAATATGTGAATGTCTGTATGCACACTCTCTCTCTCTCTCTCTCTCACTCATTCACTATACACAAACACTAGGCTCTAGGTGCTAAAAACCAGCTTTGAGAGAATAAAGGTCAGTTCACGAATAGGTCATTTCTGCACAATGTACTTTTTACTTAGGGTCCATGATGAAAGAAGGAACTACACTTGGAAGTGTGCAGGGGAAAACCATGGTTTCCCTCTTAAAACAAGGCCCCAGGTTTAAAAATCCAAATGTCCCAAAAGAGTAATTGAGTGGATTCCAGTTGCTTTTGATTATAAGAAGATGGTAGCTTTACTGCTTATTTGTTTGTTTAGTATAAGACTTAGGTCTTATCAATTGGCTTATTTTTTAAATTTGTGAATTTTTACTATTCTTATTCATAGATTTGATATTTTTAAATACGTAAAGGAGAAAAAAAATACACTGTTCCAGTTGACATTCCTTTTTCTCCTTTTTTATTTTATTTTTTTATTTTTTTGATGGAAAAGTATGCATAAATTTTAAATATTTAATTTGTGCCTCGAATAGTTGGATGGGTGAGTGGAATCGTTTAGAATCTGATGCCAGGTACCCAGAATACTTTGATTTTCAGGTTTTGAGATCCCCTTTTCCCTACACAGCTTCTGCTTTGGAGTCTGCACCCACCAGCCACCTGCTCTGGCTTTAAATGGCTGAGCACTGCTAGGAAGACCTTGCTCAGCAGCATTGTGTCCTTATTCAGCCAACAGATAATGATGGCTACCTCTTGTAGGCAGGTACTTTCAGTTACTTTGTCATTTACTTCATTTGGAAAGACTGGAAATGCCTTTAGAAAGAGAAGTTCAATTTTGCTTTTCTGTTCTGAGAGTCCTCTCCATCCAGAATATTTTCAAATAACTAAAAATCAGGAGGCTCATTCACCTCCTCCTAACCTTGATCTGGAAAACACTGATTCTGAAGCTCCCACTTGTGAATTGGTCTTTTCTCCCTTAGAGGAGATGCTGACTCTCAAACTGTCCTGCTTTTCCAAGTTGTGTTTTATTCCAAAGGACCATCTGAGCCTTCTTAGGCATTGAGGAGGGGCAGTGAGAATCCATAGTCGCTGGTCAGTTGTGCCACCTGCTTGTTTGCAAGTGGCCAGGACAGGAGATAGCTGGAGAAGAAAGGCATCTGTTTTATTGACTGGGGTTCCAGAGTAATGCTGAGTGGCCCCACAAAGATCTAGAGAGATCCTTGGTGACAAAAGACATTTCATAGACTCTAAAGGCTGTAATTGAGTTTATCACAAAGTTTGTGAAGCCCTTGCTTAGGAAACAAAAGATCCCTGTGTTTCTAGTCACCCATACCTATTTGCCTGTTTGGGGGCTTTTGAGCTGGTTATCTTGATCTTAAACATTGTTTCTACAACTACTTTAGGGAGTACCTAAGGGAAATTAGTTGCAGACTGAACTTCTGGTTTTATTTATTTCCACCTCTGGAATTGGTAATCTAGTCTCATTAAGTAAGAACTTTGTCTTCATAGAATGTTGTATATGTTGTAGAATTTTGGATTTGTTAGCTAAATGCAGCAAATTGAATCCCTTAGCTGCTATAGGAAGGAAAAAAGCAATTAGAAAATATCTATGTATATTTTAAAATGTGAATGGATATGGCTGAGCTCCCAGGCTGGAATTTGTAAGAGAGTGTCCTAGGCTGAGTACTGGAGTGGACCATAAGAATCATTTCCATTCGCATTCCTTTTAAGATATGAAAACTGATTAAACAGTTATTCATTTATGTAGCTTAAATACCTATTGCAGGCTTTATTCAACAAGTAAGAAAAGGCAATTAATTAAACATATATGCAAAAGAGAAGGGCTTACATCTTTCTAGCATGAGAAAAAAGTATAGAAACCTAAACCATCATTTCTTTGCTTATGGAATTACATTATGTAACATATTCAAATAGATGTTTTTAATACCATATATCCATGTTTATTGTAGAAGAATTAGAAATAAAAGCAATAGAAAAAAATTTTAATCCTGATCATTCTTCCCCACAAGATAATCACCATTACTTTTTTTTATTTTTATTGTCATTGTTAATCTTCACCTGAGAATATTTTTTTCATTGCTTTTTCAGAGAGAGTGGAAGGGGAGAAGAAGAGAGAGAATGAGAGTACAACACCAATGTGAGAGAAACACATCAATTGATTGCCTCTCCCACTTGCCCCAGCCAGGGGTGGGGAGTGAATCCACAACCCAAGTATATGCTCTTGAATGGGAATCAAACTCACAACCCTTGGGTGTACAGGCTAACACTCTAATTATTGAGCAATACAGGCCAGAGCTCACTATTGACATTTTAGTATATATTCCTCAGACTTCTTTTTCTGCATGTAGATAGATAGACAGGCAGACAAATGTATGTACAGGAGTGTTGATTTAAAAAATAAAAAAAAAAAAGTAAAATCCATGGCTAATTGTCCAGATGCAGCCACCAGAAAACCAAGGGAATGGTTGCACTGTATGGGAGGGGGAAGGGATGACTTTGCTCTTCAACTGTGATTTGTGTGTGTCTGTGCAAGCATGTTAAGCATTTCTCTGTCTTGTGTTCATTCACAGCTATGATTAGTGCTCATCCCATCCATTCCCTCGATAACCCTCACCATCATTTCCACTCCAGCAGCCTCGCTTCTCCAGCTCGCAGTCATCTCTTCCACCCAACCAGCCCATGGCCCATTGGCACATCCATGTCCCTTTCAGACAGGGCTGATTCCACAGGTGAGAGACGAGGACTGCATCCCAGGTGGAAATATTTCCAAGAGTTGGCAAGTTGAAGTGGGGAAGGACTTGCCTGCTTAGAAGGATTTAGAGATTTTCTCAGTGTTATATATTTATCATAACATTTCTGTTCCTGGCTCAAATCTGTTTCTGTAAAATTGACTAAGCTTTTCTCGCAAAGTCATAAGTGCTCAGTGCAAGTCATTTTAGTAAAAACACAATAACTCTAATTACATAATCATGTCTTCTTCCAACAACTTGTATTTTAATTGAGTTCTATTTTCAGTTAACTTTTTTTAACCGTCCAATTTGAAAGAAGACCCATTTTGTGGGATTTTCAGACATTGGAGGTCAACTTTGCCTCTCAGTCACCTTAATTTTGGGAGGTTTCATAGGACAGCCTTAGGTATTACTCAACAGTAGGTTTTACATGCTTCTGCCAGGGAGCAGAGTAAGAACAGCATCTGAGGGTGGCAAGGCCAGCAGCCTCATGGGGTTGGTGCATAATGTAATCCTCAGGTTGCCTAGTGGATTACTGAAATGAGAAAGGGCTTCAAATGGGAAATTAACCTAACAGTCTGCAGTGTGTTTAAAGAAACACATTGCCAGGCAAATATTTCCCAGTTTGGAAACCTTAAGAAGCATTATGAAAACAGTTTTATGGAGGAAATAGTGAAAATGAGGGTATAGTAAATGGAATAGATACAATTATTCATCATTAATTGAAAATTAATTTTCACCCTCTCAGTTTTAAGGTACAAATCTAGTCATGGCTCATATATGAATCATAATCTTTCTATCATTTGTCTATTAATAGTAAAGTTATTAGTAGAACTAAGTGTTGGTGGTTCTGGAAAATATGAGAATTTCAAGTGAATTCCATTTTAAGAGAACCTCAAAACTTCATGCTAGAAGTTAGTTTTGCCAGTAGCATCCCCTCTCCTTTATATTTTGATCTATTATAATCATACCAAAAATATCAAATGAAGACCAAGGCTTTATTAATGGATGTCCAGTAACCCCAAAAGTTATCTCCTCCCAAACCTTTTCTTGGCTTGGAAAGTGCTGCTAGAACTCATGTCTAAAATTGGCCTTCCTACTATCTCCCCCAAAGTTTGGTATTCTGCCTTGAGGGAAAGACAGTGCACTGGAGGCTGTATGGAGAACTGAAGTCTGCCTTACAGAGGTGGTCTCTGATACAACAGCATCCAGAAAGCCACCCTCTAAACCTGCTCTTGGAAAGCCATTTTGTATCCTGACCCTGTTAAGGCAGATGAATCTCACCCACTAGGCTGTGTGTGGTGCAGGTAGGAAGAGGTTGGCCAGAAGCCTGGCAGCTCCTACCCAGCCCTCATCCTAGTGGTGGTTCAGTTGGTGGAAGTTCCATTCTGATGGACTTAGGCAGAATGGAAGAGAGGAAAAGTAATGATTTGCTTTATAAAGGGTTTTTTTTCAGTGGCCTGAGGGTATAAATGGAGGTAATACTAGTGGTAGAGTCACTGAAGATGTAAAGCAAGCATGTCACACTCGCTGCCCAGGGCCAAATGCAGCCCACAATGAATATTTTTGCAGCCCAGCCAATATAATGGTATGTAAGAGACATTTTAATTAAAATTTCATAATTAAATTTTTACAATATCCTGCTATACATAATTATTAATAACAAACTATAACATTCGCTAATTACTGATTACTAGAATTGTGTTGCATTCATTTCCCTCCACTAATACTAGCAGCGAATATTTTAGTAGCCAATTGCCATTGTCATTAGTCATAGACTGACTTGTTTGGTGTGCACAACAGGAAATATTTTCTTTTCGGAGAACAAGAAAAATAGGTTTATTTGCATTATGCTTATTTGTGCAGTTATTCAGTGTCTGGTAAGTTAATGTTCAAGAAAAAATACTAATTTTTATTAAAATGTTCTTTTATTTATGTTAATAATGACTCATTTACTTCAGCCTTTTATGTTCAACATGTCTCTATCAAAATAAACATATGTTTCTATGAAAATTGGAGCTTTTGTTTTTTGGCAGCCTACTTAAACCTTGTTTATATGGCCCATGTTAGCCTTTGAGTTTGACATGCTTGGTGTAGAACAAGTATCTAGAAGTGATCAAATTCTCTTACTGCTGTGCTTTCCTGAGCTCTGGAGCTCAGTACTGCCCTACCACCAGCCCTGTGTGTGTGGGCTCGGCATGACTAGACTCTGGCCAGGGCAGTCCTCCCGCTAGTGAGCACTTGCTGTGTCTTGTCCTGGAACATTTATTATGTCACCACCACTTGACATAGGAAGAGCACTTTCCACTTGTCCAAGTCAATGGGCAGTGTTAATTTTTTGTGTCTTAAACAACTCTGAAGTTGGCCCCTTGCCAGCAGAAACTTGTGTTATAGCATAATGACCTAAAATACCTGCCAGTGCAGGCTGACATGGTCCTGGCTGAAGCCTGCTCCCTCTCCTAGTCCCTGCTCCCACCCTCACCCGCTCCCTCTAGGCCCAGGTCACACTTAGCAAGCAGATCAGCAACTCCCAGCTGTGGGGGTGGCTAGCTTAAGCAAGCACAAAAATTAAAATCCTTAGCCTGATAAGGTTGTAATGGTCAGGCTTTTAGCACTTGAGGAGGATGCTGAATCCTTCATCCCTGGGACCCAAGACCTTTAAGCTAAGGGGTAGCACTCATAACTGGAATGGCCTGTCTCCTAAGAGCCCAAGGGAACAAAATCATTGCTCCCTTAACAATAACATCAAGAAAATAGGTTGGATTCTACAGGTTGCTCATACTGAAAGAGGATTACTTTCTTTTTTAAGGATGAGAACTCTAGGAGTCAGGGAAGGACCTCCTTCAGGCTGCCTGATACAGCCTGTCCAGAGCTGGTGTCCTCCAGGCCCCTCCCCAGGGTACGAATGGTGGTTTGCACCAGCTCCCATTGTTTTCATATGGTTTCTCTGGGCTTCGGTGCTGCTGCCACTCCTGCAGGGTTAGGGCATGGTGGCATTGGACAGTAGTGTGTGGTGGGTTGAAAGATGAGTTTGGGAGTCCAGCTAGGGATTCAGATTCCTTCTTTACCTGTTCTCACTCTGTCCTAGGGCAAGGCCTAATATCCCAGTGCCTTCTGAGTTACTCTGAGGATTGAATGAGCTAATTGAATGAAAAGTGTTTAGCACTTTTCATAAGGCTTCTCAATCTCCAGTGAATCTTGCATATTCTTCCTGTTTTATAGGTGAAGAAACTGAGACTCAGATTCGGTGACTGCCAAGTGTACTCAGCTAGTATGTCAAGATTATAGAGTCCAGGTCTATCTGATCCAAAGCCAGTGCTTTTTTCACCCCACACGCAGCCTCCCTGAACAATGACCCTTCCTCACATATTTTTAGATTGTTACCATGTTTTTTCCATGTCTTCCCCTTTTCCAGGCTGACCAGACCCTATTTCTTTCTCTCGCCCCATCGCCCTCATATGCATAATCTTAAAGCTCTGTGTAGCCCTCTATACCAGTTGGTTGTCCAGGTCTTATTTGAGCTGTAGGGCTGTTGCTCTGGTGAGGCTGTGCATAGTCCACTTAGGACAGGCAGGGACTGTGGCATTGCCCCTTCTACAGTAACCACCAGGCCTTGCAGGCAGAATCGGTACTTCCAGTACCCAGCTAGCCTTGGTGACTAAACATATTATCTATGAAAGTCACTGAGACTATCAATCAATCAATGAAACTAAGTTTTCTTTTATAATTATTTATGTCTAAATAGCTAGTATTCTCATGAACCTTTAAAATACATTTTTGTTGGTTAGAGAGAGAGAGAGAGAGAGAGAGAGAAACATCAATGATGAGAGAGAGAGACTTCAATCGGCTGCCTCCTGCACACTCCCTACTGGGGATCAAGCCTGTAACTCAGGAATCGAACCATGATCTTCTGGTTCATGAGTCAACTCTCTGTCATTGAGCCATACTGACAGGGCTCACAAACTTTTATATTATATGTGCTCCATAGTAAATACCCAACAGAACTTTAAATATCTAAAATTATGACCACTTAGCTATGTAGCTGAAAAAGTTTCAGTAACTGGTTGACAAAATTGTTTGTGACTCTTTTAGATTAGTCCATTCTTCCTTAGCCTTGGCAGAGGTGCTTATCCAGGGACCTTGTTGCTTACTAAGGGGTCCGTAGAAACAGCCAGAACTTGGGGATGTATATATGTTTAATGGATTTTTAAAATGCTAACATCTAAACTTTCCTGCTATAGAATCCATTCGAAATACCCCCAGCACTGACACCATGCCAGCCTCCTCGTCTCAGACATGCTGTACTGATCACCAGGATCCTGAAGGTGCTACAAGCTCCTCTTACTTGGCCAGCTCCCAAGAGGAAGATTCAGGCCAAAGTCTTCCTACCGCCCATGTTCGCCCTTCCCACCCATTGAAGAGCTTTGCTGTGCCATCCATCCCACCCCCGGGCCCACCCACCTATGATCCCACACTGCCAAGCACACCATTACTGTCCCAGCAAGGTGAGTGAAGACAACAGCATTGGAGGGACCCTTTAACTCTGGCTTATGGCAAAAAATCACCTCTTCTTTAAAGAATAATAAAGCAAGTACCCTTCAAGTTTCTCCCAGCAGTTTGGAGTAGCAGGGTGTCACCACCCCTCTCAGGGAGGATGTGCGCTTTTTCCTTTGGGAACAGGAGACCAATTGATGGGGAGTGAAGGCTGACTTTTTATAGGTTGCTTTGGGTGCAGGATCCTTGGTGGTCATACCCAGTGGCATGGCTGTGAGCAGCAGATAATCCTCTGCTCAGCCTCCCAGAATTGACTCTCTCCACAGGGTCCCGACAAGCCAAAGGAGGGGCAAGGAGGCCAATGCTTGGAAATAAAGAGGAACCTTAGGAAATTAATTCCCTGAGTCTCCACAGCCAACTCAAAGTCCTCTGACCTCAAAGGCATGCCTTTCCCCTACTTTTCTACATTATTATCTATTGCAATGGTTTGTTTCAGAATAAGTCAGTGGTTCCCAAGCTTTTTGGTCTTTTTTTTTTTTTTTTAATAAATCTTTATTGTTCAGATTATTACAGGTGTTCCTTTCCCTCCCCCTCCCACCATAGCTCCCCTCCACCCAATTCCCCACTCCACCCCATGCCCTTACCCCCCACCTCTGTCTTCATCCATAGGTGTAAGATTTTTGTCCAATCTCTTCCCATACTCCCAAGACCCTTTTCCCCCTGAGAATTATCAGTCCACTCCCTTTCTGTGTCCCTGATTCCATTATATTCACCAGTCCATTCTGTTCTTCAGACTTTTTATTCACTTGATTTTTAGATTTACTTGTTGGTAGGTATGTATTTGATGTCTTTTTGTTGTTCATAATTTTTATCTTTACCTTTTTCTTCTTCTTCCTCTTCTTAAAGACTATCCTTCAGCATTTCATTTAATCCTGGTTTGGTGGTGATGCACTCCTTTAGCTTTTTCTTGTCTATGAAGCTCTTTTTCTGACCTTCAATTCTGAATGATAGCTTTGGTTGTAGATTCATCACTTTGAATATTTCTTGCCACTCCCTTCTGGCCTGCATGGTTTCTATTGAGAAATCAGCTGATATTTGTACAGGTACTCCCTTTTAGGTAACTAACAGTTTTTCTCTTGTTGCTTGTAAGATTCTCTCTTTGTCTTTTGCCCTTTGCATTTTAATTATGATGTGTCTTGGTGTGGTCCTCTTTGGATTCCTCTTGTTTGGATTTCTGTGCGCTTCCTGGACTTGTAAGTCTATTTCTTTTTTTAAAATAAATCTTTATTGTTCACATTATTACAAAAGTTCATCATTTTTTTTCCCCTCCACCAGGTTCCTACCACACCCTCTGCCCTTCCCACCCCACCCTCCCCCACAGTCCTCATCCATAGATGCACAGTTTATGTTCAGTCTCTTCTCACACCTCCCACTCCTCTTTTCCCCAAGGGAAAGTTTTCTGTCATTATTTCTTCTAATAGGTTTTCAGTGTTTTGATCTCTCTCTTCTTCTGGCACTCCAAAAATTAGGATGTTGGTATGCTTAAAGTTGTCCCAGAGGCTCCTTACATTATCTTCATATTTTTGGGTCCTTTTTTCTTTTTCTTTTTCCAGTTGGGTGTTTTTTGTTTCCTCGTGTTTCAAATCTTTGGTTTGATTCTTGGGGTATGTTGATCTACAGTTGAGTTTCTGTAAATTCTTTATTTCAGACAATGTATTCTTAATTTCTGACTTGCCCTTTTCCTTTTTTTTTTTTTTTTTTTTTTTTTTTTTGGCATTCTCATTTAGGTCCTTAAAGGTCTCATCAAGTTTATCAGCAGTTTTTAGAAGATTCTTGAGTAACCTTATAAATGTGGTCCTGAACTCCATGTCGTCCCGTAGTTTGCTTTCCTCCATTTCCCCCTTTCTTGACATTCCTCTGTGCCTTCGCATTTTAGCTGCTTCCCTGTGTTGATGGAGCAGCTTTGTGTGGTAGATGATCCACAGGGAACAGTAGCTCAGCCTCCCCAATCACCCAAGGTGGACAGTCTTGGTACACACCTTTATGGTGTAGTTAAGCCTTGATTGCTGTTGGTACCTTGGGAGGAATTGTCCTTTAGGCCAATTGGCTGTGTGGACCCACGTTTATAATGGAAGAACTGCTGTGCTGGAGACATGCTATGGTGTAGGACTTGTTGCAGTGGGGCTTTGGTGCTTACTGAGTCTGCCTCTTAAATGTGTCAGTTACGGATGTGCAGAGTTGAAATCTGTGTCTCACACTGACCACTAGGTACACTGGCTTCTGGATCTCCAATGGGGTGCAGGTCAGCTATTGTCTGAGGTCACCCTACAGGAGCTACAGCAAGAACTACAGTCCTCTCTTCCCTGCTTGGGATTTGTAGATTATGGAGCTGTCTGAACCAGTTTGCTAGTTAGCAGTGGTAGTGAAGGCCATTCATATGCAAAAGCTGCTGCTTTGGGCTTGGGTGTGTTTGTAGATTGTACAGGGCAGAGTCTTAGGGTGTGGCAAACAGCAATGGCTGGCAGTGAGCCATCCTGTGCCTCCGACCTCATCCCATGTCTCACACCCCAGCTCAGCAAACAATTGTTCCTCCACGCAGCTCTGCAAGCCAGCCACCCTCACTTTCCGACCCGAAGGCAGACAGTCCAGCTTCTCCCTGTAGGAGTTTGGGTCTCACACATCTCCCCTACAGGTTAAAGAAAGCAACGCCCACCACCAGCCAAGATCCGCTGCCAGCCCATATCATGCACCATTGTACCTCAGTTTTTCAGCGTTTGTGTGCTAAATACTCCCCTCTCTTTCCATCTGGTTGTAGAACTTCCACTCAGCCAAGCCCTCCTGTGGTGATAGACATTTTGCCTTTCTTTTTTTTTTTTAAATGAATCTTTATTGTTCATATTATTACAAATGTTACTCATTTTTTCCCCCCTCCATTGCTCCCCTCCACCAGGTTCCCACCCCACCCTCTGTCCTTTCCCCACCCCCCATTGTCCTCATCCATAGGTGTACAGTTTTTGTTCAGGCTCTTCCCGCACCCCCTACTCCCCTTTTCCCCGAGAATAGTCAGTCCACTCCCCTTCCAGACCTCTGATTCTATTGTATTCACCAGTTAATATTGTTCATCAGGTTTTTTAATTCCCTTGGCTTTTAGTTTCACTTGTGATAGTTATGTATTTGTTGATCATAATTTTTATCTATATCTTCTTCCTCTTCCTAAAGAACCCTTTTCAGCAATTCATATAATTCTGGTTTGGCGGTGATGAACTCTTTTAGCTTTTTATTATTTGTGAAGCTCTTTGTCTGGCCTTCGATTCTGAGTGAGCGCTTTGCTGGGTAGAGTATTTTTGGCTGTAGGTTCTTGCTATTCATCATCTTGAATATTTCTTGCCATTTCCGTCTGGCTTGCATGGTTTCTGTTGAGAAATAAGCTGACAATCGTATGGGTGCTCTTTTATAGGTAACTACCTGCTTTTCTCTTGCTGCTTTTAATATTCTCTCTCTGTCTTTTGCTCTTAGCATTTTAATTATGATGTGCCTTGGTGTGGTCCTATTTGGGTTTCTTTTGTTTGGGGTTCTGTGCACTTCCTGGACTTAATAAATCTATTTCTTTCCCCAGGTGGGGGAAGTTTTCTGTCACTATTTCTTACATTATTCTTTTGGTATCTTCTTCTCTCTCTTCTTCTGGGATCCCCATAATTCTGATGTTGGTTTGCTTGAAGTTGTCCCAGAGGTTTCTTACACTACCTTCAACTTTCTGGATTCTCTTGTCTTCTTGCTTCTATGGAGGAGTGTCCTCTGGCTCTTTGTGTTCCAAATCTTTGACTTGATTCTTGTGACCTTCCATTCTGTTTTTAGGACTCAGTATAATATTTTTTTTAATTTCAGACAATGTATTCTTTATTTCTAGTGGATCCCTTTTCATCTCCTCATAGGTCTCGGCCTTTTCTAGAAAATTCTTGAAAAACCTTCTAAGCGTGGTTTTGAACTCTATATCCAGTAGCTTCTTGTTCTCCATTTCTTTTGATTGTGATCTGTTTCCTTGTCTTGGCATTTTCACAGCTTCCCTGAGTTGGTAGGGTGGCTTTGTGTGCTAAGGTGTCCTATATAGTTCAGTGGGTCAGCCTCCCAGTTACCTGAGGTGGACAGTCTTGGTGTAGCCCTTTGTGGGCTGTGTGTGCAGTCTTGTTGTTAAGCCTTGCTTGTTATTGGTATCACTGGGAAGTGTTGATCTCCAAGCCAATTGGCTATGAGGATCAGAAGTGTCTCAGCCAAGAGGGTTTCTGTATTTCGCTTGGATGGGGCGGAGTCTCATGGTGGCACAGCCAAACTTTGGTGAATCCCGCAAGATTGGTTGCAGGCACGCGCACCTCTTTGGTATAGGCGCAGAGCAGCTTTGGATTCCTGTCTGTTTCTCCCTAAGAGAGTCCTATTCGCGGCTAATGAGAAAGCTAGCCACTGGAAGGGCTTCTGTGCTCCGCTTGGATGGGGCGGAGTCTCAGGATGGTGCAGACAAGCTTTGGTCAGCCCCTCCCTATGAGGGTCTGGTTTCTGAGTCCCGCAGTAATGGCCACTGGCTTCACACACCTCCGAGAGATCTCTGCCCACTGCCTGACAGTCTGGCCTCTCCCTGTCGAGGGCCATCTATCAGCGCAATAGGGTGGTTCTGTTTTCCTCCCAAACAAGAAAGTTAGCCGCACATTAGCTGTCTGCCCTCTCCTCACGCAGGGAGTAAGCCATCAGCGAACTCCGCCTGCCCTCTCCAAGCTCCACAAACAAGCCAGCAGCGAAGTCGGGCAGCTGCCTTTTCGCACGCACAGTTCTCTGCACCTTCACAGTTCCTGAGGTTCAACGTGCCTTCTCTCTCCATCCCAGATGGTAGCGCCTCCTTTCAGCCAGCCGTCTGGCGCTTCAGGGTGATGTTTCCCCTGTTTTCCAGTTCTAAATTCAAATTTGTTGTGGTTGGTTGCATTCAGTTGTCTACCCTATGCCGCCATCTTGGTTTCTCCTATCT